GGGGGCCCTAAGAGTTTTTTTTTTTTGTTTGTGTGTAGGGGTGGGGGTGAGAGAGACAGAGAGTGTGTGTTAGTGCCTCTGACCCTTCCTCTGAAAGTGTGTCAGGCTACCCTCCCCCGTCTTCTTCAGGTGAGTCCTGCAGCTCACTGGCATATAAAGGCTTCACTGCCATTTCTAAAACTTCTTCTGCACCGAAATGTCTCTTCATTTTTGCCCCTTTTCTTGCTCCAGGTCTTTGTCCTTCTCTGCTAATGAAATGATGCATCAAACAACCTGCATGTTTATCTTTGGCTGTGAAGGCAGCCAGGTACATATACACACAAACAGCTGGTAGTCACACTGTTCCATAATATGGCAAAAACATAACAATTTCATGCATCAGTCCACAATGGGAAAAAGGTTGAATCTAGGGTCAGGAGGGTAGTACAATCGAGGAGGGTGGAAGTAACGGTTAAGCAGTCCTTGCCACCACTGATGGATTATGAGACAACAGGCCCCTGGGCACAGATTCAGTTTGTACATGGCCCCCACTCCTCCTACATTTTTAGGAGCAACACTTGGAGTGAGCAATCGTGTCATTACTAGTCAGTCTGGGTCCACTTGTGGTTGTTATGCATCTGTTTATAGCCATTTTACACCTGTTTGTACTTACTTTGGTTCCATTGTTTTAGTCCTTTCATTTATTGTTTTTATGTTTGTCTCATTTTGTGGATTTTGTAGTCACATTGTAGAAATTCAATTGGCTGTCCAATGTAAAGGTTAACACTCACATCACAGTTCTCTGGTCTAGGGGCCCCCTGACCTATTGGGCCCCTGGGCCTGTGTCCGTAGGCCCAATCAGTATTCCATCAATGTTTGTCAAGTCATCATTTCAGGTAACAGGTCATAAATAGTGTAAGCCATGCATAATGAATTCCTTTTAGCAGCCTTGGTATGCTAGTCAGAGTCTATGGAAGAACAGTCCTTCACTCACATGACATGACTGACTGAGCCTCTTCATAGACATACACACTGGCACAGGAACAACATCACCTGTGGCTGCAGCTTTTCATTTCTATGATGTGGATATTACCACTCACCGGTGCAGTAGTGCCCTGTGTCCTGGCAGGGTGAGGAGTTCTACGGTTACTGGATCACACATAAATACAAAAGGAAGAAGATCATGTGCAACTAAATGAGATACAATGCAATGTCATCTGAAAAAGTAAGGAAGAGCTGGTTTTGGAAAACTCACTCTTTTGGGGATGGTAAGCGTTGCTTGGAGGTATGAGCCTCATAGTGAACAGTGGTGGCATTGTTTCTATAGAAGAAGAAGTAGGGAATCACACAATATCAGTTTCAGTCTGTGCTGTGCTAGAACTATGTGACATAGTAGAGGAACACTGATTAACACTTACAAATAGCCAACACTGAAGTCCACAGTGTTGTTTTGGTTTCTGAAAGGGTAATCGTGTTTTAATCATACTGTTTAATATTTTCTTGATGACTGGTATTTTGTTCATATCACAGAACGTTGAAATGGTACCTTGAAAATCTGTCCCAGAATGACTTCCTATAAATATAACAACAATTATAAAACTACAGGACAGAAAATGTCACAAAGACAGCTTAAGCTAACAGTACTAAAGATCATCTACCTGGGTTTCCTCTCATTCTGCCACCCAATACGTCCATCCTCTGTTCTACTGAAAAAGGTAAAACATTTAACATGAGCCTTTTCAGCTGGGGATTAAAACTGATGGTTTTCATCTTTGGTGCTCTGACCTGGACAATCGGCTCCAAATGGATCTGCTGTATGGAAAGCAGAGTATTATTTTTGTTAGTTTTGTGCTACCTGTACTTGTACAGTTTATAAAAGTGCTGACATACCATTTTTCTGGTCTTGGAGGTCTCTCTCTGACTTCAGGGATTCTCCTGGACATTTTGGTTAATAGAAATTATTTAAGTAAAACATGGTAAAATGCTACTCATCAGTGATTTTACGTCACATGACGTGAGAAGAACAAAATTAACTGGTCTTGAGGCAATTTTTAAACCAAGCTTACCTGGATAATCTATCCCAGAGTGATCTCCTGTCAAAGTTTGAATTGCAGAAACTTAGATCAAGAAATTTAATTTGTGTTTTGGCGGAAACACAAGACATAGGTGTTAAATTTCATGTAAGAAAGTATTAATTCAGTCAGAGTTTTGAAGTCATGTATGTGCATTGTCTGATTGGCACCAGCTGTTTGCTTCACATTCAGTGGTTCAAACACTGAATAGTAACAACCAGTCATACTTATGAAAGTTTAGTTTATGGCTTCATTTTTCTGACAGAACTCTGCTGATACACTTGTCCCAATGGTATTTGACTCCTTTTTTGGTACTGCTGATTTAATGTTGATTTATATTTGTTAAGGGGGGATTAATTCTCACAGTAAAACTCTTGATGATCCTCATATTCTTTAAGAACTCCTCCACAACAGAGCTATTTCCATCAGTTCTAAATGTATGCAGTAACAGGTTTTTTAAACAAATGGTCATTTATTTGACATATGTATCCGTGAGTGAAATCTAGTTCTTGTTTTGTCTTTATTATGCACATTTAGGATTAAATACATACCTTTTCTCCGGCCGAGGTGGTGGTTTCACCGAGTTGTCAGTGGTCTTCCTGTGGGTTAGAAAAAAAATGGTATAAAAAACGTGTTCCTTTCACCTCTAGAACCAATATTTGTTACATGAATTAAGCTTAACTTTAAAGCAAAAAGCCACTAGAATCAGTAGGGTTTATATTATCAATGCACTGGCACATTTTGAATTGGTAGGTACCTTTTCTTATAGATGAGCACTGCAGCTAAGATGATTACAATCAGGACAAGTGAGACAGGAATGGCTATTGGAAGAGAACTTCCCACCTGGTACATCACTGTTCCTGGTGACAGAAAAGCATTTAAGACTTGTACAAATGTATGAAGGGAAATACACAACTCAGTATATGGCATAATTTCAAGACAAATACAGGACAGTTGAATCTTGTGCTCTAACCCTTCACATTGAACTGTGCTGCCTTGTTGCTTGTCACACCAGAAAATGGCAGTACAGTTTAGGCTTCTGACTCCGTCTCCGCCAGCAACCATGAAAGTGATGGTGGAGGTTATCTCATATATGCCTTGTGATGTCTCCATGTGTCTGACCTCACTGGTGAGAGTAGGGACACTCCATGTGAACACTGGAGGATATGATGGACAAGTATGCGTCACAGAACAAGAGACACTTAAAGTTGAACCAGCATCAACTTCTGCTGGAACTGGGGTCATTACTGGTTTCTCTGAAGCTGAACATATGAAACACAAAGCAGAGAACTGTTATAGCATACAGTGCAAACACAAATAATTTGGCACATTTCAATAAGCTAAATAGTTTATAGTGACTCCAGACCTTTCATTACAATAAATACGCAGCTGCTGTTGAAGCTATATATAGTTTCTCCTTTCTCTGCTTTGAAACAGAAAGGGCCATTGTCAAAAGGCTTGATGTCATCAATCTCCAGTGAGCAGTTTCCTTGACTTAGATCTCCTAATAATCGGGTGCGGTCCTTGAAATGGTCAAGTACAAGGCTCCTGCCATTATGATAGACATTGCCTCCGTTTTTTTTGACCCAGATGCCACGTGTCATTGGGAAATCCTCCTTGTATTGGAAAGTGCAGGGAATCACTACACAAGAGCGGGTCAGGGCAGTGAACCTGAAAGGGACGTCAGCAGCCAGATTGTTGGTGGCTGTAAATCAGAATCGGAATCAGAATCATCTTTATTGGCCAGGTAAAAAAAAGAAAACAAGGTGTGGTGGGATGTCTGTTGAAATCAGTATAACAGAAAAGTGTTTAGAGATGATTAAAAAGTACCATCATGTGTAGATGTTTCTTCATCTGGTTTTTCATATTCTGGAAAAAAGACAGCAAGTAATTAACTCTTCAAATGTTACCTCATCCATCCATATTTACTGCTTATCCTAAGCTATTCCCAGCTGACACTGAACGAGAGGTGGGGTATACCCTGGACAGGTTGCAAGTCTATCACTGGGCTGCCACTTAGAGACAGACACCCACACTCACTCCTAGGGGCAATTTAGAGTCGCCAAACAGTCTAAGCTGCATGTCTTTGGGCTGTGGGAGGAGGCCGGAGTACCCAGAGAGAACCCATGCAGGCACAAGGAGAACCTACAAACTCCACACAGAAAGGCCCGGGGTCGGCTAATCACCATGTCACCATGCCACTGCCCAACAAGGGTGAGCACAAATGTTCAGCATTTTGGGAAATAATCGTTTGTTTTCTGGTAGAGAGTTATATGAAAAGACTGACTTGTATGTGAATTGTAAAGCTACAGGTGTAGTAGCAGATGAAGCTCACATTTGTTTAATCCATATAAATCAAAGCATAATTACAACACCATCATTTTATATGAGGTTATGTGCAGACTTTTTCTTAGCTCTAGAAAACTTCTGCTTGCTGTCAGGAAACTAACGCAACATAATGGCTGTAATGCAAGTGGTAATGGATAAGGATAAGGATAATAATGGTGTCAGAAGCCAGATTTTGTTACCTGTGAACAGAACTAGGCTATGTGTTTCCCCTTATTTCCAGTTTTTTTTGTAAAGCTAAACTAACCAGCTGCTCGCTGTAGGTTCATATTTAAGGTGTAGGAGTGGTTTTTTTGTTCATGCCTAACTCTCCTCCAGAAAGCTACCTCCTAAAATGTAAAACTGTTAAGTGTATGACCACAGTGTGTGACATGTAGGAACTCACTCTTTATATGAAGCACTGCAAAGGCTGAGGTCTCCCCGGTATTAAACTGAGCAGTGCAGGTCAAAGGTTTTCTGTCATCACTCAGAGAGCCAATAAAGGTTAGATTTGACACTGTCTTATAGGTGTAGCTCGACATCTGTTCGGTGTGCAATGAACTCTGAAGGTCTTTGTAGTTCCACACAATGGTTGGTTTGTTTTTTTTGCACTTGTAGGAAACAGAACAAATGACACTTTTTGCCACACCCTCTGTTACCTCACCTGGTGGCTCAACCATTGTGATGTCATCATAAGGACCTGAGTAGAAATGTGATAATGAGATTTAAAACTAAACAGGAGCAGTTTTATGCTAATTTAAATCACACATCATCTCACATTGTACTCACATTCAACATCCAGCCTGAGCTCACTTGTGGCTTTCTGACCACCAGAGTAGCTAACAGTACATTTCACACTCTGGTCCTCTTCTTGTACAGTCCAAGTTCGCTCAACTGTCCTTGCCCACATCCCATCAGGTACAAGAACGTCCACAGTGAGGTCTGCTCCACGTACATCATTTAAGGTCAGGATGGGGGGTGCAGAGATACATGTATGGTGCACAGTGCAGGACACTTTGCTCTGCTCTCCCACCGTGGGGATACCAGTGATGCTCATCTGTGGTTGCTGTGCTTGGTCTATTACAGTAAATTTAAAGCAACATGGAGATGTGGAGAATAATGGAACTCGTGCGGGAGCTCTGTCCCTCTAATCCCAGCACTGTAAGGCCTACCTGTGTTCAGAGTTCCAGTAAACGTCCTGCTGATTTTAACTTTCCTGTCTTCACGTCTCGTGCTTCCAACAAAAGAATTGGGTTAATTTCTAACACTATGATCAACTAAATTGGAGGAATGCCTGTGAGGCTGCCAGCCTGTGATGCTGCCAGGGGTGGTGAAGGACCAACCACGAAAGTGCATACTTCCTGTAAAAAAAGAGAAAGATAGAGAGAGAATCCTTTATTGTCAATGTAACACGTACAACAAAATTTTAGTATGAAACATATGAACTAGAACCATATAAGAACATAACCGCTAAATAAACAGCCCCCTCAACCCCCCCGTTAGGTAAAAACTATTCCTGAATCTAGTGGTCCTTGATTTGATTAGGCTGAAACGTCTACCTGACGGCAGCAATTCCAAGCATGAACATCCTGGGTGTGAAGTGTTCTTAATGATGTTCTGAACTTTTTTGAGGCAGCGAGGCAGAGTGAGGAGAGGGCACCTGATGATCTCCTGGGCCATATTAATGACCCTCTGGAGCGCTTTCCTCTGAGCTACTGTGCTGCTGCTGTACCATACACATATACAGTACAGTGGTGTGAAAAAGTGTTTCCGATAGGAGGACACCAGCAGTCTCTGGGAGATGTTGTTCCTCCTGAGCACTGCCTTTTTAAGCAGTCCAGAGGTATTCGCGCCCCAGGTCAGATCCTCCTTAATGTGGACTCCCAGAAAGCCGGCACCCTCTCCACAAGGTCCCCCCGATATACAGTGGCAAGATGTCGGTTTTCTTCCTCCTGAAGTCGACAATGACCTCCTTAGTCTTTGAGGTATTAAGGAGCAGATTGTTCACTGCACCACACTATCAGCCTCTCCACCTCATCCCTGTAGGTAGTCTCATCCCCCCCAGAAATAAGCCCCACCACTGTGGTGTCATCAGCAAAAAGAAACATTTGAAGAAACATTGCTAAACTTTTCTTCGTGCTAGTTTACAATTTTTCTTTAAAAATTATCCAACATTTGCTTGAGACCCCACATTACAGATTATAGTAAATAACCAACAATAGCATTAATTTTTGGTGTTTGTCCACCTGATGAATTTCAGTCCAATAGTCACTGTCCTGTTAGCTCTGTTTTGGTCTCCATCAGTTCTCTTTAGTTGATAAAAGCTCACCTATCTTAACCAGCTATTTGCTAACTCTGCCTGTCTACTGTTTAATTCTGAGTAGATAGTGTTTAAAACATTCGAGAACAGAACAATATATGTTTCTTTCTGTCAAGCATATTTTCAGAGTACATGCTGAGGGATACTGTTTTAGACAAGTCACCACACTGAATTAATTTTATAAATACAAAAACAGAAATTAACAGAGTTGGCAAAATGTCAAAAGTACATTATATTTTACATCACATTTTATCATTTCTACTCACTTTTTACTCGTAGAGTGATGCTCACTTCCTGCGTCTGTCCCCCACTGAATGTACCAGAGCATGTCAGTGTCTTTCCATGGTCCTTAGCTGATGCAGTGAAATTCAGGGTGGAGACAGTCGTCCACTGAGCAGCTGCTCTGCTGGTATCAGTGGATGCTGGCATGCTCTCATAGTTCCATTTGAGGGTTGGATGATGTATAGGGCACGTGTATGAGGCAATGCAGGTTACTTTGCTTGAGTGTCCCTCAAGAAATTCATCTGATGTAGGGCTGATAGTCAAGGGTGAATAGGAACCTGAGACACAAATGGTAAACGTGATCATTTTAGGTCACCATAAAGAAAAAAGTTCCTACTCCTGTATATCAGTCACATACATTCCGCATTTAAGATTTCAGTGGTACTTGCAGTTTGACCACTACGATGTCGGACGGAACACGTCACAGGTTGGTGTTCTTTCATTATGGGCAATGTGGCCCTCAAGGTAGTTTTGTATGTGCCATCAGACATGGGGCGATGGGTTACACCATGGCTTTGCACTTGGAGACCGAATGTCAGCGTGGGTGGATAAGTGGGACAGGTGTGGTAAACAGTGCATTCCACTAGTACAGACTGTCCAACCTTCTTGTCTCCAGTGATCATAATAGTTGGCTTCTCTGCAGTGTCTTTACAACAAAAATGTGAAGAGTTATCAATAGGAATAAATACACATCTATTTAAAAATAAACTTTTTATAAGCTCAACCTGATAACTCACTTGTAACTTCAATTGTTACAGTTGTATCAAAGAATCGGTAGGTGGATTTGCCAACATTCTCTGGATCTACCCAGGGGTAAATCTTCTGTCTGTGGTGTGCCCAAGTCACTGGGTAGATCTGTAGACTGCATGTCTTCCCAGATGCAGAGAAGATTTTTGTTTTTCCTTTAAATTCATCAATGACGTATTTTGGGTGCCAGTCATCATAGACCAAAGGATATGTATGTTTGGCATACTGGTACCACACCACACGATCTGGTCTGCGAGGTGGATACTGATAGTAGTCAAATTTGCAAGGAATGACCAGGCAGGAACCCAACAATCCCTTAATGTTGCTTGGTATTTTTACGTGCCAAGCCCTGGAACTGCAGAAAATGTATCCTGCAAGAGGACCGTTATGTAAAAGGAAAAATGAAATTGTAAAAATGGCAAGATTAGGTCAGTGTTTATATGTTTAACACAAACTGAATAGTACACAATTGCAGTACCTAGAATACAGAAGCTCAGGAGGAAACGGCTCAATCCAGGCATCTTTCCTCAAACCTAAAATATATGTGAAATTAACATCTAAGTTTTGCATGGAAACGTACAGCTAGAAAACAGTTCAAATAAAGAAAAAATAAAAGTAAAATACCTATCTGTGGTTCTTTTTCCTATTAATGCTTAGTACAGCTTCTAGAAAAGTCCTGGTAAAACATAATTAAAAATCTGGTATATCTAATGGTTCAAATGTTAAAGGAGCACTGAAGCAATTCAGTATTCACGGATTCACAGACTCACAAAAGAACTGTCAACAACAAAGCAGCAGAGGGCAATATTTTCTGCATTTCTGAAGCCTGACAACCCAACTCAAGTCTACAGAGGGTGAATGTCTGTAGATCTGTTTGGGTGGAGCATCACTTAAAGTCCTTGTCCGTATTTTCTTCTGTTTTTCGACTATATAACCAGAACATGTTTTTGTGGATGGGTGGGAGAAAAACAAACAGCGGTCCCATGATATACATTTCACAGCTTGTTTGTGATCTAAATGTCATGTGATTGTCATGTATATTGCTTGGAATAAGCAAAAAATACAAAATGATAACACGGTGTGCATTTGCTTAATTATATACATAAAAACAAGTTACATTGGAACTTTTATTAAGCAGAGAAATTTAATCGTAAAAATATGGGGAAAATAGGCAGCAATGAAAAAAGAGTAGGAGTCAAATAATTCACAGAATACTGTACATACAGATCACATACTGTAGACGCATGTTTAAAAAAAGACAACTGAAATGAAATGATGGAGATAAAAGTAAAACCACAACGTACAAAGCAGTTTAAAGCAAACTTGTTCATAGACCAAAAAGGTAGGTTTGTCCATGGACTAAGATAAATCCACTTGTTTCTAAAGCAGTAAAACTATTTAAGTTAAATACTGAAATTCCTGAGTTTCGGTCAGTTACTGTCAAGTTGTTCTCAGTACTGAATACAAAGCTAGAACAAAACAGAGCTTGCCTTTCTTGATTCCAGAAAACCAAAACCAGGTAAATTAAATCACACTGGATCCCAAATTGTTAAACAAAACTAAACTAAACAACAAAAAACTAACAAAGAAACAAACAAAAACGCTATGCTTATTTTTTGATGGTAATTACAACTTGAAGATATCACAATTGATATATGATCTTTTTTCATAAAATTCAGATTCAGCATTCCATCATATACACTAATACTAATCTCTGAAATACATAAAAATGTTAAAGTTCCTTGATATACTTGTGTTGAATATAAGGATGGCTTACCTTCAGCCCTGAGTGTTAACAAAGAGTTTTACCAACCAAGTCACACACACATCATCCTAAAAGAATTCTGAGTGTGAAGCTATGACTATGAGGGGGTGGGGGTGATTCAGTATGGTGGCGCTTAGTCACTGGAGCTATTCTACTGGGCTACTCTTTATAGGCTCTATTTTTATTATAAAGCCTCTTCCGGCTCTTTCAAACCAGGAACTCACAAAGACGAAGTAGACCACTTAGATTTTATAAAAAAATAACCGTCCTGGTTTATTCAGAGGATCACAGGTAAAATTAACATTACACGTCCAGATCTCTCCCACCACCAAACCTGCGCGCAGGCAGCTTGGAAGATGAAAAGACCCTGAACCAAAGAACATATACAATATTAATCACTTGGTTGGGATAGCCCATTCTACCCAGGCACGTCAAACCGTGACGTCACCTGATATGCCAGCTTGCAGCTGACCATAACAATAGTCAAAACATGAGGAAAGTCAAGGTGTGTGGCTGTTGATTAGTGGTGTGTATCTAAGAACAATTTGACATGACATTTCACAT